TAGATGCTCAACAGGCGTGGGCGAATTTTTAGGGCTATCGTGGCCCAAACGAGTGTCAAGGACTGCTGCAGAGGTTCAGTTTTGGAATTATGCTTGCCTAGATGCTTAGGCCACAGTTGAGAGCCCACCTGGCTGCACTTGGGTCAGATCCTCGGTCAGGCAAATGCATTTAGAACTGTGCCACAACTTGTGCGGGCCAGCTGCACTTTTCCCATTGGCTCATGTTGGAAGCATGAAAGAGAGGGAGAGAGAGAGCGAGAGATGTCGCCAGCAAGAAGCTCATGGCTGTGCAGCTCACCAAGCCTCACACTGACTTGCTCTCAGGGCACCAGCTGGAGCCGTCTTTTGGCCTCATTTCAACCGACTTTTTGCCGGCGTGCCCCTGGCACGTGATGATTCCATTGGCAGGAATTCACCGCCATGCAGGTACTCCTGTCTGTCCCTCTCAGACGCTTTTGGGATCTTTTGCTCGGAGAGCCTGAGACTTTAGACGAACTCTCTTGTGTAACGTGTGTGGAAGCCTGCATCGGTGAGCATGCAGCGTGTTCACCGAGTTAGAAATCGGTCGCTTGGCTGATGAGGTTGGCCAATCCAGATGCAACTCATCCACGTCTTGTGCTGGTGGAGTTGGCATTCGGCATATTGCAAGGCCTTGCCGCACTTGCATAGAATAGTGCGATCAAGGTCAGGTGTTTCGGAGTATGTCCAAGGTCGCATGTGTTGAGTGTTTAAGGTCCGTTTTGATGTGTGTGCACGCGCGCCATACTGACGATGTCTTCTGGCTTATCCAGGGACCCAGAGTGGCCAGTCCTGTGCAGGACACCGAGATGAGCTTTTCAGATGCCAATCTGCGTCTGACCGGCGACTGTTTGACCTGTGGGACAGCTGCTTGGGGGTACTTCACCAACTCTTGCATTGCACACGCCAGGTCCGAACTGCAGCAGTATGTCAGCGCCTGCTTTGCGAGCCTTTGTGACCCAGAGGACTCCAAATGGGTAGATTGCCTGGATGAAGTGAAGACTCTTTCACTAGTCTCTCTGCGATCTTGACCCCAACCCCAGCACTCGGCGAGCAGCGCATCTGAGTGCCTCCGGAAGTTTGCAACGCAGGACATGTTGGACCTGATTTCGCAATCAAAGGCGCCAGCTGCGCCTCAAAGAGAACACCATGCCGTGCTCGCTCTTTTTGACCGTGACCTTGACACGACATGTTTTAAACAAGAAGCGACACGGGATGCAACACATGGTATCACTCGGAATGCACTTCGTCTTGGAGCACAGGATGTCCTATGGCAGGGCTTCAGCCGACACCAGGCGGGGCATTCAGCGCATCGCAGAATCGTCCAAGTTCTCTTGTGAGCAAAGCTGGACGAGTAACTGTTTTGTTGGAACTCATTCTCCCTCGGCAGCATTGTCACAATGTTTGAGCGCCAGGTTTTCAGCTTGTGGCAAACTACTTCCGCCAAGTTCATCAGGCAGGTTCAAGCATGGGCAGTCCTCAAGCTCGCTTTGTTTCGCGGGGCTTGCGCATGTAGCCAGGTTCTACTGGCAGCACCGCCAACAGGCATTTGCGTGCGTGTTGAGTCACACTTTCACTAGATGTAAGGTGGCTGTGTTGGAGATTGAGATTTGGTTTGCTGTTTCCTGGATCTCAAAGCACATTAGGAGCATGCCCGAGTATGTCTCATCCAATACAACCATGCTTGCATGCACCCAGCCTTTGCCAGGACCTTGTCATTAGGAAGTGGGGCTCGTAGCTGCTTTGCCGTTGGCAATGAAATGGCAAGTTGAGCAAGTTGAGCGCAACCAGGATTGAGTTCAGTGTCACTTGCACAGTGAGTTGAGGCTGTGCAGCTTGAATCCCTTCACCGGCGAAACATTCAGGCATGGACGAGCGCATTGCACGGGGTCAAGGAGTTTGCCAACACCAACGAATTGTTCAGTTTCACTCGCTCGCTCAGTCAGACTTGCATGTTGCAAGCAACGCCAGAGTTCATAGCTCTTGTTCCTTGAGTGTTCCTGCTTGAACGGGAGGCAATCAAGGCAAACCAGCCACATGTTGTTAGAAGACCCTTTTGAAGAGACTGACGTGCAACAAGCACGTGTGCAGAGAGCTTACGCCGGCATCGCCACGCCGCCCACTGATGGGGTCGTCAGCAGCGCCGAGGAGCTGGACTTATCAAATGCCCCTTGGGGCAGCTGCCGCTCAAGTCGTGGGCGTGGCGCTCGCCAGCTCCAAAAGCAGACCAAACCGACCCCAGTTGCAAGGAAAGAACGCAGCGAGGGTAATCACAGCAGCCCCGCTGTGTCAACTGCACGTCTGCAGTGCTATAGCATTTCTCCCGCGGACCAGTGGTGAATGACTCAACACAGTAGTTCGGCCACAGCTGTGGCTGTGGCAAGATTTCTCACAGACGAGGCAGTTCGCGGCGAAGACTCAGAAAAGGCCCCAGTAACTAGCTTCACTGGGTTGGCGGCGAGGACGTGCAGACCCATGGAGCTTCGATCTAGAGGATTGTTCGGCCACGAGTGATTGAGCCCAACAAAATGTTGACCTTCCCTTTGCAAGGGCCACAACCGCAACACGCACGCGCGACTTGTAGTCTTGTGTTTAAGCGGAACTTGGAATGCCGCGGTCAGCAGAGTAGGCCGCGACATGTGCCATGGCCAGAAGAGTGTTCGTCCCATGGACTTGCCGGCTGGGTGCAACTGTAGCTCTGCACGTGTTTTACTTGTTGCTTGTTTTCGTTTCTGGCGACATCCTGTCTGCCAAGCTCGCGAAGAGGGGCGTAGAAAAGGGTAATAGGTCTCGCATCAGCGCGGCGCACGTTGCAAAATGCTGGCGAAACACACGGTCTTGGCATTTGACAGGGTTGGCAGGCTGCCCACAGCAGCCCAGCCAGCGCAGGCAAACGCCAACCAACAGGGACATTGAGTGCAAAATGCGTGCAGCTGCAGCTGACTGAGGCTCTAACATGTGTGACACGATCGTAGGCAACAGTGACGCAAACGCTGCAACGACATCAGACACCCTCCGGGAATACTGGTCGCTGTACACGAGCGAGCACTCCGGAGAATTCGCCGTTGCGCAGGCTGTCGTTGGACTTTGTGCTTCAGGAGGCTGGATGGAGCAAAACAAGCCATGCTATGGAGCGCATTGGAAGCCAATGACTCGACGGTAAAGCCTTGACTGGGCCTGGTAGGAGGATGTAGGAGGGAACCTGCAGGTCCTTCCTGTCTTGGACGCCGCTCTGCCTGACATGCGACGAGGTGGTGCACTACGGCAAGTGCCAGAGGAGCCGTCGGCCAGAAGGTCCCGTGTTGAGAAATGAAGTGGAACGAGATTGGAGGTAGTTGCCGCAAAAGCCTCCAGAGTTCTTTGGTCAAGGTAAGGTTGGTCCTGGTCATAGACGGACATAATAATTTATGTTGTTGGTTTTGGTACGTATTGGTGAAGAAAGCGGAGCACTTGCATTTTGTCGTGTGCAGCAGGATTTGCTTGATCTCATGCTCGGCGAAGGCTTAGCCAGGGCCCTATCGTGCAAGAAGTTGCTCTTGCCGCAAGCTGCTAAGCCTCCACTGAAGTCAGCGAATGAAACTTTAGAGCGGGTGGCACCAGCTCGCCGTCGGACACCCAAGGCCAGCACAGGCTTCAAGAGCTTCCTGGCCACCTTGGCCACTGCCCTGATTCCCAGATTGTTCCGAGACCTCAATCAGAAACCGCAGAATGCCACATAAAGCGCCGCGCACACACATCATTCTGGATAGTTTCAACATATGCGAAGGGCCGTGACTGACTGATATGCAGAAGAAAGTGCAAGCAAGAATCATCAGAAGGAGGAAAGTAGCAAGAGCCAAAGCTTAACACGTTTGCAATTAATGTCCTCCAAACAAAGCCGGGGCATCTCCCCTGCCCCAGCATCCGCTATGCTGACTCCCCAAATCTCACAGCTGCTCAGAATTCAATCTCAGCGTACCGGTGAGATGTGCGCCTACCTGCGCAGGCTTGCAAGTCTAATCACACCTTTCTCCCCTCAGGTACTGAAGAACATGTGAAAAACCAGGCAATTATCAGTGACCTTGATGTTGAATAGCCTTCGATTGTGGCATGAAGAAGGCGCAGCCAGGCATGGCTGATGCACCATGACGCAACGAAACGGATTGATTTTGCGTGCACATCGCCTGGATTTTGAGAGGTCGGTGCCACCGCCTTGGGAGTGGAGAGTCATCACACGGACGGGACGCCAGAGATGCCGCATGTGCGGGCTTCAGCGTGCCACTAGCAGGCAGATGCTACATACCAGAGGGAGTTGAAGGGATATAGGGCTTCTCCACCCATCAAACGAAGATCTTTTGCAAGATGAAATGCAGTGCTGAGGTGAAGCCCTGGGTTTGTGGCAGAGAAGTGCCAGAGACTCTCACCTCCGAGAGGCAGCGTGCTTGACGCGTTGGCGATCTCAACTTGACGGATTTGCAGCAAGCAGTAAGCACGAAGCAAGCAGCGTATGGCAGAAGTCCTCTCAAAGACGCGGCCTTGTGCCAGGTGGGCTGTGGCCGTGGAGCAACTGCCAGGCTGGAGCTTGGGGGGCTGTGGCTATGGCCCTTCTCTTTGCCCGAGGAAGTTGTCCAGGTGCACCTGGAGACTAAGAACGTCTCAAGACATACCTAATGATCCCGATTGAAAACGTTGGCTTGTCACATGGGCGTCGTGCTAAAACCCATGTATTCGCCGAATCTCCAGGCTTACATGGCATAAGCTTCCCACTGTGTGCGCGGAACGGAAGGGCCAGTACCCGAAAACATTGATCGAAAACCTGTGATAACTTGTGTGTAGATCTACACCGGGCGCGGAAGTCCCCCCTTAATTTTTGCGGAAGTTCGGCGGAAGGGCAGTTTTCAGGAGAAGTAATTTTGTACAACACCCGAACACGCGAGCTGCTTTGGGTGCAAATCACAACTCGAGCTTTTCCCAGGCTGGCGTGACCAAGCTGAGGACCTCTACCTGCTTTTGGCACCCACCCTTTGCAGCCTAGATTTTGGAACATCATCTACACATGTGTGCCGCATGTGAAGAGGAATGTTGATAATGGATGCTATTCAAGATGTGCGAAGAAGCTTGAGCACTTCCACCACCGCCCACGCGGAGGATGTGTTTGCTGCCTTCTGCTGGGATGCTTGGTGCTGTGCCCAGTACTACTTGCCAAGCCATTGCAATGCATGCTTTGTCTCGTGGTAACGTGAGGTCGCGCATCGAGCACGAGAGTAACGACATGAGCTTGAACGAGTCTCCCCCGGCTCATTATTGGAATTTGCAGGTTCTCTGTTGGTGCAGGCTATGCATTGCTAGTCTGCAGAGACAAGGATCTCACAACACAAATGTGACAGGTTTGTCGCCGTGATGATTTGCTGCTGCCACGGTGTCTTGATTCCATACGAGTCAGCATCTTCAAGTGCCGGACATGTATCCCGAAGGCCCATGGATAAATGCCACCGAACCTGTTTGTTGAAAGCGAAGAGGTGATGTGTCTTGAGACATCAAATATAGATCGGCCAGCATGAGACGCGGCTGACTTAGTGAACTTAGTGCTAGCCCTGAGGCACCGCTGCGCAAAAGGCTGCTGGACTTTTCGAGCTTTTCGCCGAGCCACCTAGGCCCAAAGTTGCCAGAAGTTCCCAGAAGTTCCCAGAAGTTTCCAAGCACTGCGCCGACTGTGATTCAGATGTTTGGCAGGCCAGAGATGCTGGACATGCTGCCTCACAGGAGAGCTCGGCAGCCTCAAGCAAGCAGTGGCTCAGAGGGAACTGCAGGATACCCATCTCGCGCATGGCTCACCAGCTGAGTGGCAACGCGGAAAGCGAGGAGGCGGCATATGTCGCATTGTTCTCCGCAATGAGTTGAGAGAAGCCAACTGATTCTGAAAGAAGCAGCAAGCTAATGTGAGCTAATCCAATTTGATTGCCTTGGATGAAACGAGCATTGCTTTCTTTCATACCCTTGCAGAGCTGAGAGTTGGAGTGAGGCAGAAGCATCAGCCCGTGCAGCTTTGGCCACAGTGCTTGAAGTGGTTTGGAGAGATTTGCTCAGCATGTCGCACCGTGTTTCAAGAGAATTCTAGCAAAGCCGCACGTGTTTAGCTTGCCCAGGTGTGCGCACGCCTTCCGCCACCAGCAGATCCGAAGATGATCGCATTGCAGATCGAGGCCCGCACGGCTGCCCATCAGTGTGCATTCCTGGTTCCCCTGCTCTTCCCAGTGAGAAAAACGTGAACTAATCAATGGGTTCCTGACAGATGTGTATGTGGCCGCTGCCATACCAGGTGTTGAGTTGTGCAAGAAAACCCGCGTGTGGAGCGGTGCGCAATATTATACTTTGCCCCTTCTTAGCAGTGGTAGCGGAGCAGGCAACGACCCTGCTGGTCATTGCTGACCCTCTGTGGACAATGACCCCTGCGCCACGCGGCACGGCCCTGCCAGCCATGGCATAGGAGCGGCTGATGCCACCTGACACCAGCCGCTCCGACAAATATAAATGACCGCCGGCCAAGGCGGTGTGAGCCCAATGCAACCTTTGCAGGCCTGGTTCAGGTGGCAACACCGGCGTGGCCGCAAGGCCCACCTTCGACCTCAACGTTGACGGCCCCGGCTCCGGCTCCCTCAAGTGGCTGTAGAGACAGGAAGAAGGCCGGAGCCACTTGAACTGTGCGGCAGACGCCGAAATCGAATCAGGCCAGCTTTTTTGCAGGCCGGATGCGGTCAATCACACTAGCTGTTTCTGAGTAGCGATCATGGTCTGAGCCGCCTCCCTTTGGACTGTCGCAGCCCCGATCGGCAAAGCCTGACGTGTGGCGGCGCCAGGTCCCAAATACAACCTTTCTCATCGGCGCCCCTTTCGTCAAGAATGGCACGTGGAAGCGGTGTTCCTTGAGAAGGGCGCCTGTTACAGGGATTTGACAAAGTCGTGCCTCCGTTTGAGGCATTGCTTAAATTCCATGTGGGAGAGGGCTTCGAAGAAGTCGTGCCTCTTTCCAAAACGCATAGGAACTCTGCATGTTTGAAGGGATAGGCTTTTGGGAGGCATTGCAGTTGAAAATGGTTATTCCGTGGGGTTTAGGATGGTTTAGGCATGTTCTATCTTATGCGCCTAGGAGCGTTTACAGTGTGTTTCGCAATCTTGAGACATGACGTCTCTTTTGCTACAGCGGTTCGAGTCGGCACCTTGCTTTTGCTCTCACCTGGACTAACCTGGCGTGTTTGCAGGGCTGATCGGCACATGTGGGCCCAAAATATCCCAAAATCTTCAACGGACGATCGGTGATCTCGTTTTGATCTCGTTTTGATCTCGTTTTGATCTCGTTTTGATCTCGTTTTGATTTGCCAGGGTGCCTTGCATATGTGCCTGCCTGCCTTCCAGAGAAAGAACTCCAGGACGTGGAAAAACACGGTGCAAGAGCCTGCAAAGCCCACCCATTGTGTCACGTCTTACTAAACTCTCCTGCAACAACCTATCGTACGCTTGGCGTTCCATTGGTTTTCATGTTCCTGCAGACGCCTCGCGGGGGCTGGAAACATGCTTTGCCATCAGTAGCGTTCCATTGTGTTTCAGTGTTGACACCTGTCTTTTTGTAGCATGACCAGCTCGGTGATGTCAAGCGTTCCATGGGGATTGTTGCCGAGGCGTGACTTAGGAGTGACTTCTTGGAATCGGCATTTACATGGGGGAACACATGGCCACACGGAGTGACTTAGGCATGACTTTGTCGTTTGCCTGTAGCTAGCACGTAGGGCTCGAACTAGGTGAGCTAGCTGGCTTTAAGCAGGGGCGCACATGCTTGTCCCAAGCCACGGCAAGCACGCTGGCTGCTGCAGCGTCGCTTGCAAGGGCCAGCGCGTGACTGACAAGGAGCTGCGGGTGAGGTTGCGAGCAGTCCTTGGACATGTGGCCCAGCTCTCCACACCTGAAGCACTTTGCCGGCAACACCTCGGGCGTGCTCCGCAGCGCTTGCCCTTGCACGAGTCCTTGGAGACGCCCTCGGAGCCGCCCTGCTTCTCATAAACTCTCCGCTCCCTAGCAAGCGCCCTCCTTTCGTTTGCAGCCTCTGGCAGATGGCTTCCTGCATCGCTGACTTGCGCTGCGAGGCTGGGCTGAAGAACTGTCAAGGCAGCTTCGCGTTTAGTGACAGAGCGATATGCGCTCACCAATGGCTGCAGGTGCTGAGGCGCGGCGCGCGCTCAATGAATTTGGAGGCCAAACATCTTCGTGCTTGAACGCAAGCCGTTCCTCACCTTCAGGCGTGTTCCGCAGAAGTTGCGGCAAAGATTTGTGGCCTCACGCTGTCAAACACACACAGCGGCCTGGCTCGAGGCTCTGGAAATGGTTGGTCTTCAACAGACTCCAGGAACTCAATCGTTTACTTTAGACTTTAGTCAGCGCATCAGCCTGATTGAAAGTACGGGGTCGCCTCTGTGAAGAGGCCAAACCCTCACGAACGATCGCAATTTGTTCACTGTTGGGAGCCTTTTCCAATAATTCGCAGCAGGCGCTTGCAAAGAAGACTCTCAGCTTCGTGGGGCACGCGAAACCAGAGACACATGTCGGAGCCGCCCTTTGCGCTTGAGCAAGCGCATCTTCAAGTTCTGAGCTGCAGCTGGCTAGCGCGTGGCGGAAAGGCTGTCGCGAAAGACGTAGCTGACATAGTCGGACACGGCGCCAAAAGACAACTTCGGCGCAGTCCACCAAGGCTCCCAGGTTCCAGAGCAGCAAGCTTCCACCAAGCAGCGGGCTACCCTGGTGATTTCCTCTTTTCCGTTCAAAGCTTATGTGCGGTCTTGCCAAGTTCTGGCCTGCCCATGACAAGAAGGCGTAAGCGCCCGCAAGCGTCGCCCGCATGTGTGCAGGTCCCAAGGAACGCCGTCTCGCAAGCGCAGCGCTGAGAGCCTCGAACAGCTAGTGTGGAGTCGCGTGCGAAAAGATGCAAGAGGTGCTGCGGGGGAAGCGAGCCATGATGAAAGCGCCAGGAGCGCCCGCCCCGCAAAAAAGCCTCATGGAAAAAAGGCCTACTTGTCAGGAACTTCAATCCTTCCAGGCTGAGAAACATGTGAACCAACTGATGGAATCCTGAAAGCGCGCGTGCTTCATATCACCAGGGCGCATTCATGTCATGGCCGGTGGCGCCTTGACGACATAGCCAATCTAATGTGGGCGGACGTTGCAAGTTGGCGGGACTGAGCAGAGGCAACTCACCCGCGTTGTGCAATATACACAGGCGCACAAAGTCAGGTTTCCCATAGCTGTGCCATACACTCCGATTGTGTTTGCAAATGAGCAAGAATTGAAGCATTAAACATGCGACAGACACATGCTCCATGCGTTACTCCTCACCCGTGACGCATGATTTTCCTGCTTGTTTTTCCTGTCTACGAAAAGGACAACTGCCTTCCTGTGGTGACAATTGGTTCCCTCAACGTGATGATTGTGAGTTCAACTTTTGTTTGCCATTGGCTTCGGATTTCAGGTCAAGCTGGGGTTGTGGTTGGTTCGGGTTGAGGGTGGCTTGATGGTTGGTTTAGGGGCCGGTTTAGGGTTTAGGATCATTGAGTTGAGTCTCTTCACAACCGACGGGAACCACTCCGAGCCGGCAAGTGTGCCTGACAACTATCCTCAAGCAACCGTACACCCGCCAACAGCCCCCAAGCCTTTCAACCTCAAGCCCGCACTAATCAAACTAGTATGCGTGCTGGTGATACTGAGATTGCAAGATGGCGCGTACGTTGATGACGCGGATGCCGATGCAGTCCCTCCAGCGTGGAGTGCATCATTTTGTTTCCTTGGGTGACAGAGTAAATGCTTCAAATAGCGTGTTCTGTGATGACTGACGCCCAGTATATATTTGTCTGATCTCCAGGACGAAGTTGTTTGACTCATCGCCGCCTAGGGCAGATACACGTTTTTGTTGATGACTCACTTGGTGTTGGAGGCGAAGAACTAGATATTCTGTACACACACACACAAAACGTTAATTATGTTGTCACCTTGAATGTTTCTTGTTTCAAAGCCTAAGTATGCTACTGCCAAATTGGATCTGTGGCAGCGGCTGCTTGTCTAGCATTGAGAGGTTTGGGCCAACGAAATCTGCAAGTCTGGAACCCAGCAATGGTCAGATGGGCAGGGCAGAATCGTATCTTGCAGCAAATGCGGTTTTCCTGCCCACCCGTACCCCTCAAAGCACTACTCCCAAGGGACAACTGGATATTATTTAGCAACTAAAGGTCAGGATCAGCTTGCGCTTTTGCCCTCACAGGCTGCGTTGCTACATGAAATCGACACACTGAGCATGAATGGGTGCACCGGTTGTGTCACGAAGCACAGCTGTGAAGTGACTGGCAGGGTGAGGCAGCACAGGCTGTTTGCAAACCCAACACAGTCTTTCCAGAGGCAGTGCTGGCAACCAAGGAAGATACAGTTGATGTGCTGCATTGTCAGTTCATAGTTATCTGCAACCGCTGAAGGATTGGCGATGCCTTCATCAGATCACTGTGGCCCTTCACAATGGTCCCGATTGATGACCTACAGGACGTACTTCGTACAGGACTCGGCAAATTCCAATCCCTCGGGCGCACAGACAGTGTAAAATGTGAGCTGGCTCACCGGAGGATTGCGGCTTCCCATTTGCAGCTCTCAGGCGGTCGCCTGCCAGTGCACAGGGCGCTGCTTTCAAAGTACACATGTTCTGATCGACATCAAAGAGCAAAGGTTGAGGCTGTTAATGCAGTGGAATCTGCTTCTTCGCAGGGAGAAAGTCCTTCCGGCGAGCTGCACCTGGGCATTTCGTGGCTTCCTAGGAGCCAACTGCCAAGAATATAGCCTTCCTTTTCACCAGTTTGAGCGACCGGGTTGTGGATTTCCAGCGTTGCAGTACATGATGCACTTGCATAGCACAAGTCCTGTGCGACCAGGAATGATTTGCAGCATAAAGGTTGTTGCCTTGTCAACAACCTTTCCTTTCATCTTGCAGGAACAGGCAGCAAACACCAGAGGTGGGAACCCTATCGATCTGCCGTGTTCTCAGTCATTCCAAGTTGCTCACGAGAAGCTGCTGTTCGTTGACCTTCCCACCCCAACGCATTTCACGCAGTGTTCCAAGAAGGCTGACTGAATGACTTGCATACCGCATAGCATCCTTTTCTGCGAGGTGTCGGCGGTGTTCGCTTCAAGTCTGCCAGCTTCAAGTCTGCTGCAGAAGCAAGGCGGGAAGGCTTCGGCTTGGGATTCACAGCGTCAATGCGTGCGCTGCGCAGTCCTTGGGTGCAAGTCTTCGTCTATGACAAGGTTGGGGCCTTAAGGGGTTCTGGAGACAGGGTGAACGGTGGTCAAATAAGAGACAGAGTGAGGAAGGGCAGAAGCGTTCACCTGCTATCAGCGGCCAACGCTGCTTGGGCGAGACGGTCTTGCCAGGCATGTTTGCCTTATTGAGAGGTTTAGGTGACTGCGTCGCTTGTTTTGTGGGGACAAGAGACCAATTCAGATAGAAATCAGACGTGTTCCTGAAAGGCAAAGCTTGATGTTTGCATCAGTTGCCTTGTTTCATAGATCTATTTCTTTCCTGGCAAGATGTTGGGGCTTGAGTAAACTGATGTCCGTGATGTTTTTTTAGCTTGACTTCTATTTTGGCTGCTGCGTGACGCCCCCTTCTGGTTGCAACTTTGAGGCACTCCGCTTTCCAAAGTTGCGTGCGAAGACACATAATATCCATTCAGGGTCTTCAGGCCCTGGAGCCCAAATAAGCCCAAACGTTTGGGTAGTAGGTTCCGCCCCTCAATCCTTCCTGTAGTTTCCAGCATTGCGCTGAGTGGCTTGCCGCCCTTCCAGCACTGGCATTGCCACGTCGTGCTTTGCATATGGCATGCTTCTTGCTGAGCTTGGCCTCATCAAGCTATTTGACTTTGAAGGTGTGACTCCCCAGCAATGTGTGTTCATTTTTGCTCATAGGCATTTGATTTTTTCGAAATGCTCCCTGATGATTGTTGCATTTGAATGTTGTTTCTATTCTTGTCGAGTACTTAATCAACATGTTCAGTCATCGTTCCTCCGGTTCCTTTGCGCCATTCTCATTTTGGAGCCTTTCTCTGAATCCCGGGGCCTAAGCTCTTCGAATTCAGGGACTTGAGAAATTTGTCAGCTGCATGTGTTTGCGAAATGCTTAGTAACTAAGTATAGAGGTGTCAGGTGTCCTCCTAATCCCAGGTCTTGATATATGCCTCATGAAGTACTCCTACAACATTTCAAACTGCTCAGGCCCATCCTGTTCCTGTTTTCCTGGATCTTTTTTTTTCATAGCCACTTCCAGCACTCTTTCTAGCAGGGTGTTTTGTGGATGTTTCTCCGCCTGGATATCGAATTGTTCCTCATCAAGTATTCCATGAAACAGCTCCTTCTGAAGGTTTCCTTTGCTGATTCTAGTTTTGCCCTTGACACAATTTCTCAATCTTCACTATATGCTCTGATTTCTACGTCTTTCTTTCCATTTTTGGCATGCTTCTTCTGAACGCAATTCGCCAGTCTAGGGTATATGTTTCCCCTGAAAGTGTTGATCTGCATCCTGGATGTCGAGCTTCTCCAGCAAATTATCTCAAAGTTGATTACTTGCAAGATGTTTGTTTGTTCAATTTTCTCCAACATGCCTATCCGAAGGCGTTTTCTCTTTTGAAGGTACTCTCCAGAACCTGTTCAAGTACTGAACCTACATGCTCAGGATTTCTCTGCATTCTGGATCATGAGCTTTCTTATCATGGAGTTGTTGCTCCGAATGTTGCTGAAGCATTGTCTCCAAATCAAGGGCTGTGACTCTGAAACGCGTCAACCGTTGCCTCAACTCCCCGGAGCGATGGGCTCAAAGTGCACCAAATATAGATGCTTGGGTCTCAATGTATCATCGTTATGCCCAAGTCAGAGTTGGTTACTTTTAAGACCTTCTTGCAAGCACAAACCAATTGCAGTCGAAGTCTGCGCTGTGCTGCCAGGATGGCCTTCTGCCAGTGTGGGCGCAAAGCTCGCTCGACAAGACAATGGTGTGGGAGGCCAAGGCCAGAGGCGTCCCCTTTTCCTCACTCGCAATGGCGTACGATGGGATGCGCAGGGTAGTTGCTTCACACGATAGGATGCCAGTTGGCAAGAAGATGGGCAGCAGTGGCAGTGGGCTGCAGCCTCAGAGACAGCCTTTGCCAGGTTCAGCTGCCCCTCGTAGCTACTGCGCCACACTTTCGGAATGGACCTGTCACAGCACAATAGCACAATATTGTTCAGCCAGTGGTTGCAAGTAGTAGCCACTTCCAAGGCCCGCACCAGATTCCGCAATTCAGGCTCCAAAGCTGCTGCAGTCCTCCTCCAGCCTGCGGCTACCACCGGAGAAGGTGGCACTTGGGCCAAGAGCATTTCACAAAGTGACTGCCGCAAGGTCCGACCGCATCTTCAGAGGAACATCTCCCTGCAGAGCTGCCGGTTGGTGGCAGAAGCGCTTGTAAGGACGGGCCAACTGTCGGGTTCATTGATTGTGCGCGGCTGAAATCAAAAGCTGCAATGGATCTAGTGGCTTGGAATTTGCATGTTCGCATGTTGCTGTGCAGGCGGGGCACCCTGTACCTCACCTGTCGGCAAGTAGCACAGTTGGCAGACCGATGCTTCCACAGCCAGCAGCCCAGTCGCAGATTGCAGCTTTCTTGCAGAGGCTGACGCCTACATGCCGCCAACCCTACCCCAAAGATGAAATGCCAGCGTGCGAGAGTTTCGTAAGCTTATGCAGGACCAGCGGATTTGAAAATAGCAGTACAAACCGGGCGATTTGGACTCCATCAGCAGGATCATACTAGTCACTTGTAGTTCCTTGTCTCGGAAGGGATTCCCAAGCTCACGATTGAACTTGTGAGCAAACAAAGTGCATCAGACACAGCATGCCAGGATGTGAGCGGCGCGCGGGCTCGACCAATTTAGGCTACGTTCAGTCAACGAGCAGCATATGTTTATGTTTTTCCCCAGACTAAGACACTGATGATCTAGAGTTGAAAGTTAGAGAAGTCAGAGGCTAGAGGAGTTATAGATTAGAGTTCGAAGGGTTGTTGGGCTTGAGCTGGAAGTTAGAGGCAAAGGACATTTACCTGAGACAATGTGGCCTAGAGACAAACGTATGACTACTGGCAGCATCCTTGTCGGCATGCGTGAGCTTGCAAGTCAATGTCCACCTAAGATGGGAGAAGTTATCGCTTAATGGTAGAAGGTTTGTTAGAGGGTTAGGGAAGTTGGGGGTTAGAGGTGGAGGTTAGAGGAGTTAGGCGTTCGAGTTGAAGTTTAGACGTAGAAGTTGGAGACAGTTAAAGAAGTTAGCAACTAGACGTAAAGCAGGCTGAAACTGCGCCCGGTGCGGCCTAATCTTCAAGACAAGCAAGTGCATGACTACTGGCAGGACCAATCAGGTTGACTCATGATGCCAGTGCCTTTTCGGTGTGGTGCGTGAGCTTGCAAGTCAAGGTCCGCACATAGAGATTGGAGGAGTTCGAGGTTAGAGAGTTTGAGAAGTTAGAGGTTAGAGGTAGAGGTTAGGGAGGATAGGTGTGATGCTGAGGGTGTCGACCAATGTAGTCCGCGAGGGGCGGAAGTAGAGCTTAGAGACGAGGTTAGAGAAGGAGATTTGACAAAGGATAGAGGAGTTAGAGGTCAGAGGAGTTGTAGGTTAGAGGAGCCGGAGGTTAAGTAAGTTAGAGGTTAGAGAGGTTAGAGGCTAGTGGCTAGAGAGTTGACACATTAGTCTTAGAGAGTAGACTCAGGGGTTAGAGAAAATTGAGGTTCGAGAAGATGGAGCTTAAGACGTTAGACGGTGGTCTTGTCAAAAATGTGCTGGGGCCAGGCACCCCCGCTCAGACTCCCCAATGAACAAAACACCAAGAACACGCCCCGCCCCTTTGCTACGGAATGACATGATTGTGGCACAGGGGTCGGTGGACTTCGGTGGCGTGGTTCTCATGCAGCGGTTGCCAGTCGATGATGAGTTGGTCAACATTTAAGGCGATAAAAAGCGGGTTTCAGCATCTGCTTCCAATGCCTTGCTTCAGACTGAGGGCACGGAGACTCTGCCAGCATCCTGGAAGCTTTGCTGCTCGAAGGGAAGGACGATCATCAGAGACTGACTTTTGGTGGTTTGTGCATGGGTCGGAGGGTCCAGCTCACTCTGGGTCCAGAAGCAAGCAGAGAGCTACTAGGCTACCCAACAAAGTTGTTTCCATTCTTCTTTGTTCTGGCATCATGTGTTAGACATTCTTTACCTATCATCGGCTTTAAAACAACAGGCGTTGATGAGATGTAAGAATCTGGGTTGGCAATATGCACATTCGATGTGAGCAAACGTTGACACGACTGGAACACGTTGCGAGAAAATGACGCAAACATTGATGTTTGAAGGCCTGTAGTCATGTATATACTCCCTCCCAAGCGTGTGTCCAGTGGCGAACACTTTCCTATCTCGCCAACATAGTAAAGAGTAGACTTCAGTGATACGTCCAAGTGAACATCATAATTTATCTTGAATGATTATATAGTCCCAGCAGTGCAAGCGGATTGCAGGAGCATCCGCCAGCCACATGTGAAATGCAGCGCTACTGCGATGATCAAGGTGGGGCCATGTTCGCAGTATGCAATGTAATGTGTTTGAGGCAGCACATGGGAAGCAGATTCAATGCTTTGTGAGACATGTGAAATGATTGGGTGACCAGGCCGGCCATACATGAATGTCACCAGTCACATCACGCTGGAGATGGAGAAGCAGATGTTCGATGGTGCGCCGCCAATTCTCCCAACTGTGTGACAGCATTGCGCAGCTGTTCGACAATGTGTGACAACAAAGATTCACTATCCAGAATTATGGTATCTGTAGCTGATGATGGCAATATCAAGCCACGCCTACGAAGCAGATAACCCAATATTTGCTGTGCGAGGCTGCGGGAGCCTCAACCTTTCCGGACAGGCAGAAGGTTGTTTGGATGCGCTGCTGCGTGCTCAGCGCCTCAAAGTCGGATTGATTTTTGCTGACATTGAAGCACGCTATAGCACGCTCAAACCTGGCATGGCCAAGGCAGATTACAGATCCCTTTCCGGGGACACCCAAGCTGCTTTATTTGCGCTTTGTGCGTGCCTTGCCTTGAATTCTCACGGAATGCGCTCTTCTCAGCATCATTATGTGAGCTCACGCCAAACCCAACAAGGTGCGGGAGATGGCCAGTGCTGCACTGCATGGGTGGAACTGGATGGATCTGGCTGTTTGGTGTCGCTTCAAGAGGCAGGAGGAGGGCAGAATTCCAGAAGTAGCAAGCTGGTTGGGTGATTTTGATGAGCTGCAGGTGGACATGGACTCTTCGAGCTACAAGCCACACTTGTTGAACAAAGAAGAGCTGAGGGCTCAGCTTGAAAGAATTCATTCGAGCGCAATGAAAAAGGGAGGTGCAATATTTTCACACTGCTGAGCTGGACATACTGGAGTGAAGTCAAAGCAGAGGTTCATCTCCTGCATTCTGGCGTTCCCAGAAATAAGCGAGCCTTTGCGGCGGCAAACGTCACTTGTGATGAGCTTAGTTGACTCATTTTGATGTTTGCCTGAAGACTCCTGCTTGAAGCGCCCAGGCACTCGCACGAAATGGCATGCCATTGCAAGAGGAGACTGGAGCTTTGACGTTGGATGTCGTGGTGGCCCGGATCTCATGCTGTACAGCAAGCACTGTGATAGCCTGTTGACTCGGTGCATTGAAGCCTGGCTGAATATGGCAGGGTGAAAACACCCAGGAGTCTTCCGCCAAGCCTTTAGCGACGCTGCCCTTGTCTTCCAAGAACAATTTGCTGGACCCTCAGTGTGGCCACGCTTAGGCATGATGGCACGAGTTCGTTTCAGAATTCACATACTGCACCTAGCGCTTGAGCAACTCCATTGAGGGCCAGTGGCGTGCGCTTTTCTAATCGCCTCAGCTGCGCGGCTAGGCCCGTTCTGTTTGGTGAGGACCCGTCAGGTGCGACCCGTTCTGACAAGTCGTGTCACGTTCTCCCACTCCACATTTGCAGCGGCGATGCTTTTTCAGCCCTGAAGGCCACGCTGCTCCGCTAGATGGAGCTGGGCATGGAGTGAAGGCACATGGAGTATCTTCACCAAGCTAGCTGCTTCAGACAGCATGTATAATTGCGCCGATGTTGCGTCGCTGCTTGCAGCGCAGGTGTTCATCAATGACACCCTCTGGGAGTTCTTGGCCAAAGTGCAAGAGGCATGCGCGAAGCTCTGCACTTAGTGTCAGTACCAGATCCCATCCCAATTCGCAGTGTGCAGAGAGCACAAACATTGTCCCTGCCTACCGCCTATTTGTGTGCGCGACAAGAGGTTGTCCTCCAGCCTGGCCGACCAGGGGGGACTTCAGGACGACTTGTCAGTGCAAACGTCGCGATTTGCGCTCAGAACAGTCTCAACAGGATGCGTCCGACAAGTACAAAGCCGTCGCGATAGGTGCGGCCTGCACTAGATGCCTTTCCTGCAAACATTGTCCTGCAAGGTTGGGAGCAGACTGTTTTGGCTTTTGTACCACATGCGAATCCCAAGGAGTGGCTTAGATGTGTTCAAGCACTGCATCACATTGCCCTTGCCATCTCTCACAGGAGTCCTTGCAAGCTCTGGTGGGTGCACACGTTCGCCTGGCTTACCTTCTATGTGTATGTGTGCGTTCACACGTGAGCGCATCCATGTCCCCAGCCTTTCAAGAATTATTGGCTTTCTATGCATTTCGACACACCCTTGCGTCGAGAGCTATTCTGTGCACAGGCTGATGCAGCGAGCTGGATGGTCCTTGACAAGGCTGGCATTGCAGCAGTAGTTCTGGTTTATTCGAGCCGCGCAGGACTGCACCTTCCAGAACTACAACATGTTGTATCGGGACGACAATATGCCGCCGTCAGCGCCCGGATCAAGGGTAGCTGCGATTCGGATGGCTCTCACCACAGGTGCCTGAAGGTGGTGCGACGGTCAGCGAGCGAAACTCAGAACTCAAAAGGCTGCAATGTATTGAAACCGGAAATCGGCTTGGACTGCGTTGCTTTAGGTTAGCGAGTGGCGAGGAAGCTCTCATATGAGCGAGGCAGTCCAGACAGTGACAATGAGCACGGAAACTCTGCATAGTTTGTAAAACTGACAACGTGTCACTCATCAAACGGAGAAGTCAGATCATTGCGCACATTTCCTGCTTGTAGGCGTTGTGGAGCATGATGTTGACGCCATTTTTCGCTCATTGTAGTGCGCCGCCTCCTTTCGTTGCAGAGGTGGGCCACGAGCCTGTGAGCTCCTGCTAAATGACTCACAGCTGCAGGACGGGTTGAACTAACTTCAGGCGTGCTGTGACAGTGTGGCGGGATGCTTCTGCACTCTCAGCATGGCAGACATGTTTTGAGGAATTATTTTGAGAAGTTCTTGTTTACAACGCGTGGATTGCATGTTGCTCTTATGACCTGGCTAGGACGGCACAAAGCGGCCTGCTTGTGGAGTGAGAATATTTCTTTGCTTGCGGCTGTGTGGCGCCTTCATGCCGAAGCTCGGCATCAGATGGTTTCCACTAGAGGTGGTGCAAATCAAGCAGAGATCATAGCTGGGCATTCAAGCAGAACTGAGAAGCATACAATGCTGTTGCTTGTGGTGTTGTCTGAAATAGCTTTGTTCCACCTTGCTCAAGCAGCCCTGTACAAAGCGGCTGGTATGCCAAGCGTGCAAACGCCAGTGGCAGCAGCAACCAATGAAAACGGGCACAGATGACATTTTGGCCAACCCTCAGCAGCTTTTTGCTTCGCACATTCATGCTTCATGATAAGTCCCTGGTGGCCGGCCTTGACGCCTTAACGCCCATTGATTCTGCCCTCAGCTTGCCGCATTGCCAACCACATTCTATTATGTGTTTACATATTATATATATACACATGTACGCGCATACACACAAACGAACATACATGCATGACTCTGGCGCTCAAGCATGATGGATTATCCGAGAAGCAAGCCAAACAATGACATCAATGCTAACCAATGTATCGAGCAAGACAGATTTACTTGCAATTCTCGGCTGGTGTCATTCCACCGGATGGAGGCCAAATTTTGCATTTTTTGATGTGATAGCATGTAGTTGGATATGCAATGAACATCGCAAGTTTGGCCAGGCCAGGTGATGTCAGCTTGAGGGCAGCCGTGACCTTGGCAGCATGGCGCGTGTCGCAAGCAACTCAAGCGGCAAAGCGCGTCATTCACGGCTGACACATGGATATTTCAGAGGACAGATCAACTAATATTCCAATGTGAATCCATGGCCCAAGGCCTCTAGATGGATTTCGCCGATTTGCAGCTCCAGCTGGATTGCCTTGGGGACGAGTTGAAGCAGGAATCCTGGGCTGTCCAACAGGCGCGACACTGGGTGGCACATGTAGCATTGCAGAAGATTCCAGCAAGGGCGAAGTGGAATGCAATTGCACAGCTTCATTTAGCGCTTTGAGTGTCCAAGAAACTGCAGGATGGCTCCCTCAGACACTGTCTGACCAACATTGTCATTGGTGAGGGCGGCTTGCGGGACCAAAGCTACAGCTGTGAGACGTGTGAGACCGTGAGATGTCGAGTTTCAGCCCTGCAGGACGGGGTGGGACAGATTGAGGTGGACCAAACAAACTTGCTTGGCCGCGGAGCCGGAGGAGTTGTGTGCCGTGCAGTCCACAAGCCGACAGGTGCTGCTTGATTTGCCGTTCTGTCGTGACATCTCACGACGTCCGGCTTTATCTAACATGCATTCATGACTTCATTACACCGGAAGCAGCGTCCAATCGCGGGATGCCATAGGCATGCCGCTGGCCGTCAAGGTTGTTCGCGTGGAGGACAAGGTGCAGCACGCGTCGGAATGTGTAAAGCATCACGCGGTCAAAAGCATTGCTCACACCAAAATGTGTTTCACCATCAGCCCAGTTTAATGCACATGATCACGCGCATCCGAGTGTTTCCCATACTGCTCCAACAGAAATCATTTGTGTGAGGCCAAGAGGGATCAGCTCATCAATGAGATTCACACACTGTTCCGCATCACCAAGAGTCACTTCCTTATCGAGCTCTATGATGCGTGGGGGCCTTGCAAATCGCCTGGCCAAATCCTGCCCATCCCCAGGAAGAACTGCCTTTGATAGTCTATTGTTTGTTGGTTTCCCTCCTGCAAAGCACGTGACCAAAATGGGGACTGTAGCTGTTTGGCTTTCCGCCCCCTTTGCAGTTGTCCACTGTGCCACATTGTGAATCACTAGTTATGCCTTTCTTTAAGATGCTGTAAGCTTGGCCAGGTACGTTCACAAGGCTGGACAACCGACTTTGCAGCATGCCACTGGGTTCAGTCAGGCGCATGTCTGTCGAAGGAATCTGGCTGCGTGCATGTCGCGTTGGAGTACATGGACCGCCTCAAGCATTCAGCTTGGCAGACTGCTAGTGCGAAAGACATGGCAACGTCAAAGTGTCCAGGACGTTGGAAGTTTGGCCGACGTTAAGCGGCGCGTCGAAACAGTGCCAGAGAGCCTTTTGGTGTGGGGCCCAGGGAGAGCAGACAGCATTGCAGCAATCTTCTGAGTTCTGAAGCTTTGTCAAAATGCAACTCGGGCATCTCGACATTAGGCCTTGATTCTGATGCAGATATTGGAGGCTGGCTGAACAAACAAGCCCTCCAGTAGCTTGCACATGTGCTGTGCGAGGGCTTGAAAACCTTGCACCTCAGCAATGTCATCCACCGGGACGTGAAGCTTGGAAACATCCTTGTGAACTCGCGAGGAGCTGTCAAGGCGCTCAGCGTTTCTTTCTCCCAAGACCTGGACTGTGAATCAAGCTTGTTGGTGCGTCTATGCTTGTTTCTCTTGGCTCAAGGGTCCCGGCGAGCAATTGAACACTTACATTGACCGAGCCATGTTTGTGAAGAGACTTGCTTGCTTTCTTTGTTGCCCATGGTGAAATCGTGGGACTGCAGTGTTCACCAGCCCACATTCGGATATTGCTTTTCAAATCTGCGCAATCGCTGCCCTAGATGGGTGGCTTTCTATTGATTGAACTTTCACCTGTCAGTGGCGGATATTCAAAAGCGAAGTCTGTGCGCTTGAACAAATGCAGTCAACAGTCGATATAGACATTGTCTTACAGCGTCTCACGTGCCAAGCACCTTGCCAGGTCACGGACTTCGGCATATCCAAGAACCTGGGTGACTCCTTGACGGTGACCCGGACATGTGACGACCAATCTGTCCATGTCAACGTGCTTTTGACAGCCAGAAAAGCTGAGAAGTACTCGCTGTGAGGTGTGCGACACTTTCGTTGGCACTGCCACTCATATGTCACCGGAAAGAGTACTTGGGGAGGACAGCACTTGCTCAACACAAGTAGAGCCAAAAGCTCTGGGCCGGGAGCTCCTGGACATGCCCGACAGGATTACGGCTTTGCTGCAGACATTTGGAGCTTGGGTCTTTGCGTCTACGAGCTGGCCTGCGGCGGACGACTCAGCTAAAGAATTGGGACTGCAGCAAGACGAGCATTGCTGAGGTGTGTATCCGTATGGCAGCGTGGCGTCGTTCCCCGTCCTTTTTGACAACCTATGTCATAGGCTCGCTTCCCTCAGTGCTGACTGCAAAACTTACACAATTCATTCAAGTGCATTGTCGAATGGTTCGGAATGGGCCATGCGTGCGGGGTTTCAATCGGATCTTTTGAAGCTGCAAGATTGTGGCCAGGCCGGAACCTCGGCTCTCCGAGGAGAAGTTCTCACCGGAGCGAAGCTGGCCTGGTTGAAGTCTTATGAGAGCACTATGGCTGCTAGGGTGCTGTTGGTGGTGACATAACACGCATTTGCGTGTCTTTCGTTGCGCCTCTGCGACAAAGGTGGACAGAAGCGATGGCTGTAAGTGTTGTGAACAGTTTGGATGAACGTGTGTTCCAGACTTGCTCAGTGGCAGGCTGTGCTACTTTGTGGAAGCTCAATTGCACACCTGGCATACATTGTCCTGTGCCAGAATTAAATTAACCTCACTTTGCCCGTTTTGTGGGGCACAGGTCCAACATGCCTGCGAAATCTGCCAGGCAAAAGAGACCTGAGTTGCGCTTCAGCGCCATCGAGCTGCAGGCTGGAAGAGCAATGAGAAGCACAGCATGAGCAGCGCCCAAGACTCATTGACGTTAAGTTCTACCAAGAGGGTGTTAATGGTTTTGATCGCTGCTCGCATTCGACGATGTCAACGCCAGGCATCCGATTTCATCCTTGGAAATCTGTGCCGTTCTGAACTCCCCAAGAAACTTTCTTGACTGCGTGAATTGTGAGGCCCAAAGTCAGCGAGGCAGCTCTGATCCGATGGTCCAACCGGCTTTGTTGAGTGAGGGCACTGCAAAGGCAGCAACCAAAACCCTGGAGCCAGGCTGGCCAAAGCAATGGACAACGATCCATGAGAAAATTATTATGAATATGTTCTGGGCCTGCGGTCTCTAGCCGGCTACGCCTCATTGAAGTTATACCTTTTTTTTTGTATGAGAAACACATCCTGTGCTGTGATATGGCATGTTGCCCACTCCAACCCCAGATGACCAGCTTTTTGGGCCCCAGCCGGGCCCCAACTCAGAAGGTTTACATGGGGTCGCGTGCGCATAGAGGCCCTAGAACAAGCAGCCCAAAAAGAACGGACGCAAACGCAACAAAACACAGTAAATAGCAGCGTTTTGTGGCTGGGGCGCGCTAGAAGGCCCGAAAACCAACGAGGAATTTGCAAGGACCACGTAAGAAATGAGCCAGCCATAACAAAAGCAAAGCCGATAGAACAACAGCCTAACGTTTAACATAACAATTTTTGATAGTATTTGCGATGTTTTGGAGCACTCGGCAACAAACATGCACGAAAATGAGCCCTATTTATATTCTTTCGGTATTTTCTGAAAAATAGTGTTTTATGGTATGAGATTCTTTTTGGAAGGAAACTTCGATGATATAGATTAAGTCTTGTTGAGGCATTAGGTCTAATTTTAGATCTTGATGATGTTAGTTATGCGGTTTAAACCTTGTGTATGTGTGATATTTTATGAGGATTTGTTATGGGCAAATAAAATTGTAAATCCGAATTGATGAATGATATAGAAATGCCGGATTTAGGTAATGTATTATGATTGAGTGATGAGGGTTGGTGATATATGGATTTTTATAGTTGAAATTAGTAGGCAAATTGCGTATTGGTGATGTATTATTTTAGGAGGTATAATTTGAATATATATTGATAATTGGTTATGGGATATGTTATTTTTTAAATATATTATTTTTATATTTTTGTTAGTGTTTTTGTATTTTTATTTATTTGTTTTATTAATTATTTTTTTGAGTAATTATATATTTTGTTTTTTAATGGTTTCTACATATTTTAATTTTTGGTTTTTAATATAATATTTATTTTTTAGTTTTTATTATTTATATTATTTTTTTTTTTATATTTTTTGGTGTTTGGATTTAATGGTTGTTGTTTTATGTTGATTTTTAATATTGAATATTGTTTGTGATGTTGGTTCCGAATTGTATTTTTGTGGTTATATATTTTTATATATTTGATTTTAGGATTGTAAATGTTGCTCGTTTTCTTAGGTTCTTTATGCCGTTGTGATTAAGATGAGTAGTAATGATGAAAAAAAAAGAAAAAAAAACCAATATTTAGGATAACAATATTTATTATATAAATATTTTAAAATGATAAATTTGATTATATATATATAATATTTATAATAATGATTAAATATTATAATTAATATTATAAAAAAATTAGGATATAATTTTGAAAATTATTATATAATATTGGTTTATTTAAAAAAATATATTATTTAAAAATATATATAATATATATATTAAATTAAAAAATATTATTATGTGTTTAGAATATTATGAACAAACACTATTATTAATATTTTTTAATAATAATAAAGATATTTAAAAATAATAATTCTTTTTTTAAATTAGTAAGATTTTGGGTCGTATTTTATATATATTGTAGAGTTATTGTATCGATAATTCGAAATTATTATATATAGTATATATTATTTCGGCCTTTGTTCGTGGTATATGGTTATATTTGTGTAGTTCGGAAATTCTTGAAATATTATTATCTAAGATATTCTTAAAATTTTAGTTATATTTTCTCGAATTTCGGGTTGTTTCCGGCAGCCCAGCTCTTTCTCTCCGCGAAACAAAATTACCGGTCTTTCTCTTTTTTTGCTCTTTCCTTGTGTCTTTCGTTGTTTTCTTCTTTTTTCTCTCTTTCTCTCTTTTCTTCTTTCTCTCTCTTTTTTTCTTTATTTTTTTCTCTGTTTCTTTCTTTTTCTTTGCTTCTCTCTTTTTCTCTACTTCTCTTTTTTGTTCATAGTTTTGTTTATGTTTCTTTATTTCTTTTTTCTTTTCTGCTTCCCTTTTTTCCTCTCTATCTGTTTGTTCTTTCTCTCTTTTTTTCTCTCTCTCTCTGTTTTTTGTCTCTCTCTCTCTTTCTCTATTTTTTCCTTTCCTTCTTTCTTTCTATTTGTCTTTCTCTTTCTCTTTTCGTTTTTTGTTTTTCTTTCTTTTTCTTTCTTTTTTTCTATCCTTTTGTTTGTTATTATTCTATATATCTTTATTTTTTTCTTTATCTCTTTTTATATATCTTTATGGTATTTTTTCTCTTTTTGTTTCTTTTTGTCTTTTTACATCTTTTTATATGTTTTCCCTTTTTCATTTGAGATATCTTTATCTCTTTCTTTTTTGTTTCTTTTGTTTTTTGTATTTTTCTCTCCTGCCTTTTTATCTCTTTCTCTTTTTTGTTATTTCTTCTATTTTTATCATTTTCTTTTTCTCGTATTTTAGTTATCTTTTTCCCGAAAGCATAGCGAAGGGTTCTTCTGCTGGGTTCACTTGAGTTGTTCTCATGAGAGTCATTTCAAGGTGTCA